GAAGGGGGTAGGGGAGAGGTAGGGAGGGAAGCAGAGAAAAATGCAGAGAAAAAAAAAAACCAAAAACGAGAAGCCCTGTCTTAAAAAAACCAAAAATAAAATAAAATATAATATAAACAATAAGGTTCAGCCCACTCTTCAGCCCAAATGGTGGACAGGAAACATCAAGTTCAGAGAAGATAAGTAATTTCCTCAGGATCAAAGGGCAAGAGGGAAGCTGCCCCAGAGCCCTGATTCAGAGCAGCCTAATTGTAAAGTTCATTAAGGTGTCAGTCACTCTCCCAAACCGTCCCTCATAGGATCCAGGGGAAGGCAGGTGAAATAAATCACACCCATGGAAAGCCTGGTTCTAGAACTTTCTATCTCATTGGCTAAGTCCAGCTGATTAATGGGAGTCCCTCTTGAAATACCCCTAAGCTATTTCTGGATTCCAACTCTTGAGAGGTCTTTAAAGGGATGTGTTTTGGCTGGATAGTGGTGCAGACCTTTAGGCCCAGCACTTGGGAGGCAGAGGCAGGCGGAGTTCGAGGCCAGTCTGGTCTACAGAGCAAGTTCTAAGATAGCCAGGGCTATACAGAGAAACCCTGTCTTAGAAGAAAAAAACAAACAACAACAAAAAAGAATGGACATTCTACCATGATTCCTAACTATTCCAGGGCCTCTCAGTATCGAGGACCTGGACACGCTGTCTGGCCCCAGGCAGACTGAAAGAGAAGTCCCAGAACTCTCTGGCAGATCTTAATAGCCCTGTCCCACCTGTGCATCCCATCCAGCGGGGACCCGCCTGCTGGACACTGAGGGCTGCTTTCCCTTGAGTCTTCCTGGCTTTTTAGTTTGACTCTGTTCTGCACTGAAGTCCATTGGTAAATCCCACTGCCTTCAGTGGGAATGACCACAAAGTCCAGACAATTCTACCCAGGACAAGAACAATTAGTGTTACCACATCACTGCCATACTGCAGCCCAGTGAGGTGACCCTGTCCATCCTGGCACTGGGAAGTAAGCAATTGCAAAGTGGACGTACCTTTAAATGTCCCCAAAGATGATGGATGGAGGGATAGACGGATGAATAAATGGAAGGATTTCAGGGATGGGGATTAAACCCAGGGCCTCAAACACACCAGGCAGGTAAGCATTCTACCACTGACCTTTATTCCAAATACTTAGGATATTATGAATATGCTTCCAAATGTTAGCATTCTGCATAATTTTGACACTAGATCTTGACTTTATCTGTTAACGAGTGCTGGCATTATAAAATAGATTTCCCATGTCAAATGTGTGTGTATATGTGTACACTGCCATGCTTAAGTTTCTGTCCTGACTTTTCCCTTCAAGGACAGACTGATGTGCGCCCAAGTTGCCTATGGTACTGGTGTTTTATCACAGCAATAGAAACTCTAACAGACACTGACCTTGAACTTCTGATTTTCCTGAAAACTAGGATTACAGCCATGGGCCAGGGTGCTCAGTCTGTACAGTGCTGGGAAGTGGGTGGGCATCCAGGGCTTCACACATGCTAGGCAAGCAGTCTACCAACTGAGCTGTATCCCAGGCTCAGGAAGAATGATTTCCATCGAAGAAAATTAGCCAGGCATAGTTAGTAAGCCAAGAGTCCCACAGCACAGGAGGCAGAAGCAGGCGCAGGCAGCATGCATTAAAGGCCAGCCTGGGCCACACAGCAAGAACTCACAGCAAATAAACAAACATATAAGGAAGACCAACCATACTCATTACAAAAAGTTCGTGTAATAAAATGAAAAGGGAATTGAGGGAGAACTGCCTAATCTGGTCCTTACAGCGTAGAAAAAAGCCAAAAGTCTTCATCCGAGCTTGGCATCATAGTTTCACGCATGGATGAGTCTATTGTCAATAAATATACACAAGAGATAAATGTTTAGCAAATCTACAGATACGGGAAACTTAATGTTGCTCTTACCATTCTCCTTTTTGATGACAATGATGGGTCATTTATCTGAAACAACAATAAAACAACAAAAGAATTAACATGATTTCTCAAGAGGCTGAAGAGATAGCCCAACAGTCTGGAGTGTTTACTGCTCTTGCAGAGACTCACAACTGCCTGTAAATTCAGCATCTGGGAATCCCACGCCCTCTTCTGAGCCCTGCATACAAGTGTACATCACATACACACACACACACACACACACACACACACACACGTAAAATACAGAAGCTAATTTTCAAATGTTTCCATCCATTTGCACTTCTAGCCCAATCTCAATGTCCGGAAGTTGACTCTCTTCTTGATGTCTGTTCTCCATACTTGTTCACCTATGGGCCAGTGGGGAACCAGAGGACGTCAGGTGACTGTGGTTCTCTGTAAGCCTGGAGGATTTGAAGATGTGGGAATGGTGGTTACTATTAGGTAGGTTGCTTGAATTACCTAGATTTTATTTATTTCTGGTTACTTTTTCTTGGGTGATTAAATTGTTATTTTGTTTTGTTTTGTTTATGAGACATGATCTTGTTATGTAGCCTAGGCTAGCCTAGAACTCACTATATGATCAGGCTGGCCTTAGTCTTGTGGCCGTCTTCTTGCTTCTGCTCCAAGTGCTGGGATTACAGATGTGACTTACCATGTCCAGCACTTTGGATAATTAAAAAGTTGATACAGTCACTTTATAAAATTAATAGAAGAAAAACCGCCAAAGGCTGTAATATCACCTTCAATAATTCAAGCTTAATCAAATATTGTAAAAAAAATTCTTATATAAAATTTTTAAGATGAACACACTAGCTTATGCCTGAAGTTCTAACTCTCTGGGAGGCTGAGGCAGGAGGACTGTGGTGAGTGGTAAGTCATCCTGGGCTTTACAATCAGTTTGAGTCCAACCTGGGCTACATAATAAGACCTCTTCTCAAATAAAACAAAACTAGTTGTTGGAGTTTTTGCATAAGACAGGGTTTTTCTGTATAACCCTACTGTCCTGGAACTCATTCTAAAGACCACACTAGCCTCAAACTCAGAGATCACCTGTCTCTGTCTCTCAAATGCTGGGAAAAGGCATACGCTACCACCACAAAATACATTTTTAATCGAAGGAAAAACATTATGCTAATAATTTATAATTATATTAATGTAGTAGACTTATGAAATTTAAATAATTAAAAATGAGTATTAAGCTAGCAAAAACTTATGAGGAAGAGTTTAAGTTTTCCTATTTTGAATCCTACACATTATAATGAAAAGTTCTTAGGTGGGGGTGAAAACACAGGCGCACACCTGCACACCTGTACCACCAGTACCTCGGAGGCTGAGGCAAGGAGCTTGCGAACTCAAGGTCAGCTTGATACACAGTATCACGCCAGCCATAGCTGTCTAGTAAAATCCTGCTCCAAAAACAAAAGAAAACACTTAAAATTCTTCAATTTTTACATAGAGACTTAAACTTGAGCGACACCAGGCCAGGCACTGGTGACACAAACCTTAATCCCAGTACTAGGAAGGCAGAGGCAGGCAGAGCTCTCTTAGTTTGGGACAGCCTGGTCTATAGAGCGAGTTCCAGGACAGTCAGAGCTGCTAAACAGAGAAACCCTATCTTACAACAACAACAAAAACAAACCAAAACCAAAAAAAGGAAAAAAGGAAAAAAGAAAGAAAGAAAATACTCTTGAAGGGCTGAGGTACATTTTTTTTCTTTTTTCTTTTTTTTGGTTTTTCAAGACAGGGTTTCTCTGTGGCTTTGGAGCCTGTCCTTGGAACTAACTAGTAGACCAGGCTGGCCTTGAACTCACAAAGATCCCCACTGCCTCTGCCTCCCCAAGTGCTAGGATTAAAGGCGTGTGCAACTCCCCCCCACACCAGCTGAGGTACATTTTTCTGAAGTAACTCTGTAACAATAGAAGTATATTCATTAATAGATTCACACTAGACCATTCAAAGTTTCTTGACTAACATATAAGTGTTATAAAAATCATTTGCAGGGTGTGGTGGAGCACACCTTTGACCCCAGCCTAGGCGGAAACAGGCCGATCTCTGTGAGGTCCTGGTCTATATGATGAGTTCCAGGCCAGCTGGGGCCACACAGTGAGACCACGTCTCAAATAAACAAACATGTATCACATTTATAAAATGTGCTCTTAAAGGGATGGGGTTTAATCTTTATTTTTACATGTGCAATTATATAGAATCTAGGAAGCCTTGGGGAAAGCAGGAACGGAAATGCTTACAATCAGGTCAACTTAATTAGGGACATATTTAAGGCAAACTAATTTTCGGTGGAATAGGAGATTCCAAGGCACCTACTGGAAAGTGTAAAACATCAACATATCTCAGGGCAGACCGCAAGAAGCACAGCAAACCTAATGCTTGCTACTGTCAAACTCCAATACTTTTGAATGGGACTTTTTACATGATCTTATCCATTACATAGCACCATCACTTTTTCCTTTATATCAATCTCATTACTTATTATTTTTATTGTTATTTT